ATCACCTATGCATGCCCCTTGCACCTTTCAAGTTGCTATTATATAAAATCTCCAATGTAATTTCAAATAGTTGCAAATGATGTCATTTCCAGATATAGTAAATATGGGCATAAAAAAAAAACATCACTCCTGAAATGTATGTAATGAACTTTAAATACCAGAGCAATTTGATATATCACAGTAACAAATGCTTAAACAGTCAGTTTTACATGGTTCCTTCTTCTTCCTGAATTTATGTTTTCATTCTAGTCACCCTACCAAATTTTATCCTTATGTATTATATTTTTGTGCATGAAAGCCTTTTATTGGCCACTCTATCATAATTTAGTGTGACAAAAATATGTATGAAGATTGAAATTTAATTTTTAATGTATAATAACCATTAGTTTCTAGATAGTAAGAGTTTTGGGATTGAGTTATCATTACAATTATTAGCAATACGCAGAAGCAGGCAGCAGATCAAAATAATGCATTTATATCACAACCTTGATGAATGTGAATGATAAGAAGTATGATATTTTTGGAAATGCATTTCTTATATTTTTCCATTAGTCCGTAATGAATATTATTTATTGCTAAATTAAGGAAGGTTTGGATCAATTCTATTCCTGTTTTTTATTTCTATAACTATAAGAACTTAGAAACGTTATTTACGCTAAATAGATGGAAAGGAGAGAGTTTTGTTATCACAATGTGACTCAATTCTTTAAACTATTGTTTGGCTATTTGCCTAAAATCTCATGTTGGCCTTTTATCAAAATTTCTTTTTAATCTCCGCTTAGCTGATCATTCTTTTAGGTTTGTCCCCTTCAATTGTTTGAAAAGACTGGAAATGACTCGAAAAAGGATTTACTGTCCAGCTACTAGAGACGTTCGTTTGTAACACCTGTATCGGTATTTCATAGCATTTATTTGTTTGTACTCTGTAGGTTTTCTCCCCTGAGATTTAGGATGAATGAGAGACCTGTGTTTCCTTTTGAGAGTGGCAGGTGTGTGTGTGCCTCTGTGTGTGTGTGTGTGTGTGTGTGTGTGTGTGTGTGTGTGTGTGCGTGCACACGCGTGCACAGTTGGGAAAGGGGATTGCTGGACCACAGCGAGTGCTCAGCCAATGTTAGGGAAAAAAAAAAGCCATATGGGAGTTTAGGATCAGTGAAATACTTCAACACTTTCCTTGCCTGGGTGCCTACTGGAAAAACTTCTTGTGTCTCCAAAGTTATGTGGCTCCCGGACTGGAACCACTTTAGTGGGAGCTGCTGTCTGTCTCTGCCTGTTACACTGAACAGGAATTCTAGGCTTTTATTCTTTATGGGGTGAAGAGTCCCCCGAGATATATGTAAAAAGTACACCTTACCTATTGGCAGTGGAAGGGTGGAAACACCCAAGTCCTATCCGTGGGGGTCTGGCTAGACAAACTACGTCATGGTCTTGCTCGGTGGGGTCCTGGATAGCTGTGAAAGGAACAAGAACCCCAGTGAATAAAAGTAAAGTACACGACAGGTATGGTATGTTACTTCTTATCTAAGAGAATGAAGAAAATGAATATAATCTGTATTTTCTTATGTTAAAAACAATAGAAGAATAAACTAAAATCAAACCCCTACAAATGGTTACCTATGGGGGAAGAGGAGATCAGAGTGGGGAGAATGGACAGAGGTGGTATCAGACTTGGATTTCGTGCCCTCTGTTTGTTGGTTTTAGTTTTGAAACCGTGGGACAGTTTTCACATCATTATAAACATTTAAATTTGTAGAATTAAACCAATCCTTCAAAATAAAAAGCAAAATGAAACACGTAAGCCTGTGTATTACATATTTTAAGTGTATTTTAGAAACATATATTAGGATAAAGCAAGTATGTAATATTACTAATGTAGGAATCAAGATTTCCCACATAAGAAAACATACATATATAAAATCAAAGAGGTTAAGTAAAAGCTCTGTAATCCTGATTTTGAGTTGGAAAAAATCAATATGAACTCATGATGTATTTTCCCTTAAAAGTTCTTCCTAGCTACTTCCATCAGAAACACCTAGAAATAATGACCAACCCAAGAGCAAGGAACACTCCTGGCCCCACAGTGTAGCCTCTATAAATATTCCATTGTCTGCCCAGAGGACCCAGGGCTCCTTGGAGAAATGGCTTCTTCTAGGGCTAGGGCAACAAAGGTACAAGATGAGCCTACGATATTTTTTCATGTCAGAAGCAAGGATGCTATCAAAGACTACTGGGGATACGTGAGAGGCACCAAATTTAAGAGGCTACCACTGGCCAAAGATGGAACCGTTAAGGATTAGCAAGAGGAATTACAATAAGTTGAAACACTTCAATGTGTTAAAAGGCATACCTGCCCCCCCCAACACACAAATATGAACATACAGAGTCAGCAATGCTTCTCAGAACCAAACCAGACCTAGCCTCTTACTGGTCACCTTTGGAGGATACTAGGGAATGAACTCGTTATTCTGAGCACTGATAAATGAAGGAAGAGAGCCAAGCATTTCTTATATGAAGTGTTATCTGTATAATCAAATAGTTAACAAGGGAAAATTTTTTTTTACCTGTAGAAGATTTCCAGCAAATATACGCAGAGGAGGATGCTGGAATTAGCACCTTCTGTAGCCGCTAATGAAATAGTGGGTCTGGGCAGTGCCTGCTGGTACCTTGGGTGAAAGAGGGCATCATAGTAGATGACCAGGCTGAGAGCATGGGGCTCCATGATAGTCCGGGGGGTGGACGGTGATGTCCAAGGCACTGTACGCCAAAGATCTCCAAGTACTTATTTTCTTCCCAGAATCTCATCTTAGAATCTTTGCCTTGTTCCTGTATGTTTCCTGTTTCAGAGCTTAGCTTTCAGGTCTTTAACTCAAGAGTTTGGATCATCAGGCTAGTATTTCTCAGGCAGTCCATAATCAACTTACCTTATTTCCATCTGTGAAATGGGGATACTAGGGAATTCAGTCGTATACCATGGGATGAAATGAGGGATGTGTGGCTGGTACTCAGTGTGCCTACTTTGGCATTATTCTTATGAAGATGATTATGTCAGCCCATTGCCTGTCTGCTTAGGTTTTACCATGGGACTGTTTATCCATATTTTTTGCCAGTGAAGGATTTAACCACTACCTTTCCCAGACTAACTCTCTCCGATGCGGGAGAAGGTTGTAGATTTTTTTCCTGGAGGAAAATCAGTGTAGGCTAGGTGGGTCTTTATGGGGAATATGGAAGCCAGGAAATTAAGTTTATTATGCTGCCCATGAGCATATAAGGACACAGAGTGAATAGTCCTTGCATTTTATGGGTATACTTTTGCATTTAACGATACTCAGTGGCATTCTGCACACCTCATCTTTCTTTAAGTGGGGGCATTGCTTGATTCCTATGTTGAAGATGAGAAAACTGAAACTCAAAGAGGTTGAATGCTTGTCTAAGTTCATGTCACAGCCCAGCACTTCTGACTCCCGATTTATTACTCTTTTTGTTTGATTACTGGCCTCTTGAAATATTTTAGTCCACTTCCAGAGGAATGCCTGATAAATTTCACCCACATTGGTGGTGAACATCTTGATAAAATTTTTCTTAGTGGGGTCCCCGCAGCCACTTAACGCCCTTCTAATACTTTTATTCCCAAACACTTAAGCTTATCAAGGTTTACACCAGCACACTTGAATTACACTCTCTCTCTCTGTAAATTTGGAGATTTCAGTCTGGAACACCTCTTCTGAATTTATTAAAAAAAAATAATAATCAAATGAGGCAAACACCAGCATCAGTTTGGAGGAATCCACGACTTAAAGTTTTTCATCAGGAGGAATGTTTCTATATTTTATTTTATTTTTCACCAAGAAACCAGATCAAATAAACTATTCTACAAAATTCTATCACAAAGTTACTTTTTCTTTACACACATCATCTTTGGAGACAGAACATACATAAATTAGGTCCACTGGTTTTCCTTTACTCAGATGTTTGCTTTTTCCTTTTATAGTTTTTAAACATTTTAAACGTGACATATGATCATGATAAAATTACAAACAGCATAGAAGTACATATAGAAAAGAAGTGGGCTTCTCTCTTTGGTCAGTGCTCACTCCACTCTCACTTCCTTCTCGGGAGGAAACATTAGTTTAATAACTCTATTTCTGGATCTTTTTCTATGCATTTATAGACTTATGCATTATTCCCTTTTAATGTACTTGCTTATGTAGACACATTTTTACATGAATTAGAATGCTAATATATATATATTTAATGTCTTACATTTTCATTTAAGGTATTCTAGACCTATTTACATATCACTACACATACTCCACTATATTCCTTTTAACCACTACAAATATGTGTTTAATGACACATTAAATGTGTCATTAATGTGTTTAATGAAATAATTTATTTAATGAAATAAACATCTCCTTCCACCAATTATTTTTGCTTATAGGAGCAAATGTTTTCTAAGACTCCTAGAAGTAAAATTACTGAGTTAAAAGGCACTCAACATCTTCAGTGTGGACAGCCGCTGCGAAGCCACAGGGACACTTCAGGATAACTCTGTCCTCGTACCTTTTCAAGCACTAGACAGTATCAAGTTTTTTCATGTGACATTCAAAAATGTGTCTCTTTGTTGCTTTAACTGGCATCTCTCCATATGTTTGTGCTCATTCGTAGCCCTTTTGTGGATCATCTGCTCTACCCTTTACTCATTTTTTTCTTTTTGGTCGGGTTGCTTTTTTAAAACTAATTTAAAGGAAAACTTTATGATATATGGATTTTAATTCTTGGTTACATATATTGCAAATATTTCCTCTGTCATTTGTCTTTTAACTGTACTTATTTTGTATTTTGCTGTGCGACAAGTGTTTGCTTTTTGCAAGTATCGCTAAAATACTATCCTTTATGGCTTCTTGAACATGAGTCTTCTTTAGGAAGACCTCCTTCTCCTGAGTTATAGAGATACTATTCTAAGTTTTCTTCTAATATTATTATTGTTTTGTTTTTATGTTTAGCTCTTTAATCCATCTGGAAATGATTTTTGTATATGGTGTGAGGTAGGTATCTAAGTGTACTTTTCAAATGAGTAGTTCATTGTCCCAACACTTTGATTACTAACCCATCATTTCATATATTAAATTCTGATATTATACATGGGTCTGCCTCTGGACTCTATTTTGTTCCACTGATCAGTGAAATTTGTCTATATCTATGCCAGTAACACAGTGTGTTCATTCCTGTAGTTTTATGATATGTTTTGCAATCTGATAGAGTAAATGTCCCCTGTGGTTCTATTTCAAATATATCTTCATTTTTATCAAGTATTTATTCCTCCAGACAAACTTTGGTACCATCCTGTCAATTTCCATACATCATTCCATTGGGGTTTTCATTTAGCTTGTGTTGACTTTGCAGACTAATTTGAGGGAGGAATGAGAGATTTATGATATTGAGTCTTCCTATTCAAGGAAATGACATATTTTTCCATATATTAAAATCTTTTATGTTTTTCAATACTTTTCTTTAACTAGACCTTGTATGTTTTCGGCTAAGGTTTATGCCTAGGAATTATAATTTTTTGTTGCTATTATACGATCTTATTTTGCATTGAATTTGTTATGACTGGTATATGAGGATAGTCTGATTTTTGTAGGTTCATTTTATATCTGAGTGGCTTAATCGTGTAATGATTCTAATTGCTTTTTAGTTAATACTTTGAATAAGTCTTAATCATATGTATGCAGCGGTTTTTGACTCTTCCTTTTCAGTTTTCTACCTTGTTTTTATTTTTGCTTTATTGCATTGGCTAGGACCATCTCAACAGTATTGTGTAAAATCAGTGAAAGAATATACTTTTCTCTGCTTCTAAAGTTTTATTAGCACATTTAATTGTCAGTGTGTTAAATAAAGGAAGTTACCTTTGCTAATGAATTCAGGCATTTAATCAGGAAAATGTGTTGGAAATTTTTGGCATCTTTCGAAAGGATGGATTTTCTTCTTTTATCTCTTAATTTAGTGAATTAAACACTAGATTTCTTAGGGCTGAGGCATTCTTGCATTTCTGTTATAAATCTTGTTGAGTTATAATATGGAGTTCTTGTAATATCTTGCTGGTTCAGTATATAATATTTTATTCATATTTGGAGGCTATATTCATAACAGATAATTTTACACATATATAGATAAAATATCTATGGCTGTTTTCATGTATTTAAGGCTATATGCTATATTTGACTGATCTTATCATCAGAAGTATTCAAATCACAGAAAGTCAATTCAGAAAGTTTCTAACTTTTTTATTTTTTATTTTTTGCTTTGGAAAAGTATAAATAGGATAAAAAATTTTAGTGGAACTTGCCCAAAAAATCATTTGGATCTTGTACTTTTTTAATGTATAGGATTTTTACTATAATTGTAATTGTTTTTCATGTTTGAATTTTCTACTTCTCTCTTTTTTCATTAATTTTTTCTAGTAAATCAATTATGACATCTTTATTTATTTCCAAATTTTTGTTGTATTTTTAACATTTTACATTTCTCTCCTCTATGTCTTTTATTGACCTTGCCAAAGGGTTATAGTACTTTTAAAGAACTACCAATTAATTGTGTACACATAGTCTCCTTTTAAAACTTTTTCCCTTTTGGCTGGATGTTTTGCTTTGCTTTCTTTTATACTAATTCTTCATTTTATCTTTATTATTTATTTCTTCTTTCTTTCTATTGTCATATAGGTCTTTACTACCTTTGTTGTTGAATCACATTTTAATTTATTAACTATTTTAAAAATAAGTGCTTACAGGTTATAATTTTAAAATTAACTATATTTCATAGTCTTCAATGAATACCAATTTAATTATCGTAATAAATAGTTTTATATTTAATTTTCAATTATTCCTTTATCAAATAGTTTTTTAATTGCTCAAAGAGAAAGTTTAAAAAATATTCTTTTGTTGTGAACTTCTATTTGGCACAGAAAACATTTCCCATTTTTATTTTATGTTTACTGTGGTCTTCCTCTTGGTATTTCAGCTTTCCTTGAAGGTATAATATGTGATTGGTTTTATAAATTTTTTCAGATAATGGAAAATAATTTTCAACTCTTCAGGGAGGCTGAATTAAAACCGATTATCTGTATTTTTAAAATGTCTCTTCAATTATCTTGTCTTCTTGATCTGTCCATTTGTGAAAGAAGTGTTTTGATTTTCCACTTACAATGGTAGTTTTGTCAGTTTCCTTTTGTTTATAGCCTATTTTTACTCTTTGCATTTTTGTTGCCATGTTATTGGAGCCTGATAATTCATAATTACTGTAATGCTGGATTTTGCCATCTTGAAATATGATGTAAATTACGTTTTCTCCTTTTAATTCTTGGCATTCTAAATTTTCTTCCACATGTTAATAGGCGGCATTTTATGTATTCAATATTATACATTTAAATCATATATTGTGTATATCAAATATACGTATTTAATATCTATTCATTTTTCCTTTTTATTGTCTTTTTGCATCCTTTCATTCTTAATATTTTCTGCTCTTTTCTTCTGTGCATGTCTTTTCTAAATAACACCCATCTTTATTTTTTTAACATAAATTTTCTCTTATTTAAGAGACAATATAACCCATTTGGATATAGTGTCTGTATTACATACAAATGATTACAAAGATATTATTATTATCATCTTTGTATAAAATATATAAATGATAGACAAAGATATTATTTAAACTTCTTTTTCATAGCGTGCCTTCAACATCATTAGCCCGTCCCTCTTTTTTGTCTTTTTTTTTGTATTGGTTAGAGATTTTTGGTCCTCTTTTCTAAAAACTGGTTTGGAAGCTATATGTACTATTTCTGTTCTTTTAGGAGGCACTTGAAAATTTTAGCAAGCAAATTTAAAAATTGAAACTCTTGTAATCAACAATTGATGACTGTCTGTAAACTCACTTTCCCTCCTTAAAAGGCAAAGCCTTTGTCAGGCTTCTAAAGATTCCTCTTCCTGTTCTTCTATGTGTTGATGGCTAAAATTACCTGAAGGTTTCATTCCAGAACAGTAGAGTTAACAGTAACAGTCGTAGTACTCTTAGCATTATTGGGATTATTATTTACTTTACGTCTCTATTTTACAGGAAGACTTTATTAGTGATTGTATTACATTTTACTACCAAATTAGCGAACACTACTTAGATTTAAATTGCGCTTTTGTGACTTATATGCTCTACATTATTTGTTATGTTCCCAGTTGTTGTCTATTTTAGATTCTTTTTTTTTTTTTTTTTGTTTTTTTGGAGCAATCCTCAATGAATTTCTGCTCCTTTGTTTTCTGAAGAACTAGAAGTGCTAAGCTTTCTGAGTCTTTGCCTGTCTCAAAGAAACCCCTTCCTTTGTCTTTGGCACATGACACAGAGCTGTCTTGATTTTAAAATCCCAGGTTGAAGACAGCTTCTGCAAATCCTTATCATCATTTATCTCCTAAAATATTTTAAGTGGATAAAGCAAATGTCATTTTCCTTTTTAGAAATAAGATCGCCCATTTTCCAATAAGTCATTCTTTCTTAGGTGTTCATTATCCTTGTCCCTCCAACGGACCCACCATAGAGAACTTCTAATTAATAGTTCATCAGGAAATTTATAGAGAGCTCTTCTTATCAATGGCAAGCACTTTTCTGACAACAAATTCTATGGGCGAGCCAAAAGTTCCCATTTCTGATATTCTGTTTACTAATGATGCAGTGAGTTCCTGAGTTTTAAAACATGCTGGGAATTTTCTTCCACTTATGCTAATACCTCTAGCCTGCTGGTCCCTGAGGATTTCCCTAATGTTTCCTCAGGAAAGGGTATCCTGAATGTCAGTCACTTCCTCTTGTCCTTGACTGTCAGATCTGTAGACCCCCAGACAGATCTCCTTAGGCCATTGTATTTTTTAAAAAATTTTTAAAAGAATTTATTTATTTGACAGAGAGATCACAAATAGGCAGAGAGGCAGGCAGAGAGAGAGGAGGAAGCAGGCTCCCTGCCGAGCAGAGAGCCCAATGCGGGGCTCCATCCCAGGACCCTGAGATCATGACCTGAGCTGAAGGCAGAGGCTTAACCCGCTGAACCCGCCAGATGCCCCATCCTTATGCCATTTTAAAAGAGACTTTTCTCACGGGCCTTTGTCACTGATTTCCTATGAGCATGTGGTCTTCCATACATTTGGAACTTCCCTGTCCCCTTCACTTGAAACACTGAGACATAAGGGCAGTGAGAAACTCAGGATCGTCAGATAGCAGGTCAGGTCACAGTTCTACAGATTGGATGCCCTTGGATAATTCTGTGCTTTAATCACCCTGGCCAAGGAGTTCAACCTGATGTCTGCAAATACTCAGGTACTCGACGACCTCCCTCAGGGATTCTGCTGACCTCCCTGTGGGCCTCTTTTCGAGGTTAGATTCCCTATAGTATCAGATTCTAAAACCTCTCCCACCCCAAATCATCTTGCGATCTTTCTCTAAGCTCCATGCCAAGGAACCTACCTTCCTTAGGGAGTATCTCTAATTGCTACTCTAGCTAACCCCCAGTATTGTAGACCTTGGCTGTCAGTACCTTCACTGAGCCTCTGACCCCCGTTACATCAAGTTCAGGTCATGGCTATCTTAGACTAAGAGGCATCGAGGGCATGTCTACTTACGAACAGTGCAGACAGGCAATGACTGATTCTGGCCAACAGGTCACTCTGCGTGTGCCTCTGTCTTGACCCCTTCTAGGTGGGAGGACACACCATGCTTCCCATCCGCTGGATGCCCCCTGAAAGCATCATGTACCGGAAGTTCACTACGGAGAGTGACGTGTGGAGCTTCGGGGTGATCCTTTGGGAGATCTTCACCTACGGAAAGCAGCCATGGTTCCAGCTCTCGAACACAGAGGTACAGAAGGGGCATAGCTGGGAACCTCCGTCTGAGGGAAGGCAGATAGGAGTGATCTCAGGATTTAGACACAGCCTGCAGAACATGAGGTGGTGTTTGGACCTCGCGGGCCAATGTAGCCATAAGCAAGAGGGGAGAGCTTCTTAGGACGAAAAACATCAGAGTTGTAGGAAGTGTGGTGTAATTGTCAAGAAAGCATGAAATCAGACGTCTAAATTGAGATGCGAGTCACGGTCCTGTTTGTCCTGCAACACTCAAAAATCGCAAATGTCTCCCTAAGACAGAAAACAAAAACAAAGAACAACTCTGAGTTTTTCAATTGTGCCATCTTGTGGAAACACCCAAAGAATCTGGATTCCCAAAGGTTTGAGGCCTGCCAGGCCCGGATTGGGCAGACAGGGGTGGATGGGGAAGGCAAATTTTCCCATTATTGATAGAGATATGTGTGGACCTCCAGGAATAAAGGGTCTCATCATGGTAAACATCATAATAATAAGCACATTATGTGCTTTTATAATTTTGATTTATAATAATAATAATAATATCAGTAATCAGATTTTCACAGTAACTAACATTTAGTGCCACGTACTGTTCTAAGCACTTTGGCTGTATTAACTCGGCACTTTCCACACAAATACCTGTTGAGATTCAGGACAAAGGGAAGGAAACAGCTAGGGAGACTGGAGAGGACTGGCCAGAGACTCAGATGGGAGCTTCTGTGGCACGGAGAAGGCACGGGCCATGGTCACAGGACTCCTGCCTCCAAAGCCAGTCACGATGGTTCTCATTTATGTCCGGACCAGACTCGTGTTGCCCTGGAGAATTCAGTATAGTTAATAGACAGTAATAGGCTCAGATTCTCAATCAAGCAGACCTCTAAGAGATTGCAATTATTTTTATGGTCTTCTGTTTTCTATGAAAACATGAACACAAGGGCCTTTTAATATTGCAATCTTATCTGAATACTCGAGAAAGTGTCTTTGTTTTTGAGGGCTGTATTCCTCTTTGCTTTCCTAACTGATGAGTTTCAGAGACTGAAAAGAAGACATTTCTTTAAAATCTGTAGTATCCGGTCCATCACAAGCTGAATGAGTCTTAACCACATTTCCCAAAACGGGACAAAACATTTTAATGACCTTAAAAAAAAAAAAAAAAAAAAAAGAGTATGTATCAGAGCCCACTTGTTGCAGTGTTTCGAAAGAATTGTTGCTGTTTTCCTGGGGTGTGGGATTGGTAGTAAACACACACATACACACACACAAGCACACACATACACGTGCACACAAGCGTGCACACCCGTCCATGCATGCATGCATGTACCTACCTGAGTACATGCACACGTACACACTCCTGCACAAACATGCGTGCACACAAGTACACACAGCCTCCACGTAGTTTGGTGGCCCCATTAAAGATGGTACTATTGATCCGTAAGAGATCTGCCCTGGAGATCCAAGCCGGCTCATAGCAGCCAACAAGGTGTTTCAGATCATTTCTAGCACAGTTTGGTGAGGCTTTGGCCTGGACGTGGGCTTTCTGACCCCAGCCACCTGTCTGTCCCACTCTGAGGCCCAAAGCAGCCAAGTACTGTGAGCTCCTGATCCTGGGTTTCCTTATGGAGGTTGACAAGCCAGAGAGCCCCCCCACCAGAGGAGGCGCTAGTGAGTACTTTCGATTGTAGCATTAGCAGCTGCTGCAGTCTGAACCGGGTCCCTTTTCCCGGAGGTGAAGGTAATGGAGGGTGGAAACAGGGCTCTAATAGGAATGGAGAATCTGAGTGGCTAGAGACCGATCAGGCTGGCATGAAAACGAGCCTCGTGGGCCAGCACTGACCCCAGGGTGAATAGGACCAGGAAAGTGCTGACACTTGGGGGCTTGACAGCCTGTCCTGGGGTCAGGGTGACATGAGACAATGCCCCAGATGGGTCGCTACTGGGGGCAGCATGGGGAGATAAAGGAGACAAAAGACACTTCCCTTGCCCAACTAAACACAGACGGATAGGGGCAAGGACACCAGAGGACCTTGACTTGACACGAGTCCTCACGTTTTATCATTCCGACCCATCTCCAATGAGGACGCTGGAGTTTGGAGTAAGTTGCTCAAGGTTTCACAGTGATCGGCTTAGGGAGACATGAAAAACCTATCCCCGATGAGGAAGATGAAAACTTGAAAAGTCATGAGTTCAATGTCAGCAAAGAAGTGCCTTTGAGAACCTGGAAATGAAGTGTGGGTTACGGGCCGGGTCCTTCCGCTGGGATTGGTCCCGCCATACGTTGTTTCTTTCTTACTCCTCCTTAGGGCCTGCCCTGTGGAACGTCAGGCCACGCTTCATGCTCTTGGCCGGATTTGGGCCTTACATTTACACAGGAGGTAGTCGAGGCACACACTGGCTCGCCATCTTCCAGACGAGCATGCTGAGGCCCTGTCAGTTTCACTGACCTGTGCTGACCACTGAGCTGGACAGTGGTGAATCGAGCAGTAGTTCTGATGGGAAGGACTTTAACAGAAGCCAAATACGGGGGTTAGTGCAAAGAGCAGGGGACGCAGGGCCTCGCCATGAAAGGGAACTGCATGGTGGCCTCGAGGGAAGCCTGGTGCTATGCACAGAGGCTAAAAGTGGGAAGGGAGCCGGCCAGGGGGTGGGAGCTAAGGGGAGGAAGGCAAGGAGGGGCTGGGTGGTGCAGAGTGCCTTCAAGGGGGCCTCACAGTCACCCAGGCTCATGAGAGGGGAGGGACAGTTCAGGTGCCAGTCCCCACTGCCATGTGGCACCCAGATGAGATTCAGGACTAGAGAGGAGTCAAGTACAGGGTAGAGTGCATGGGGGAATCTGTGAAGGCTGGCCCAAGAGGTGGGGCATGAAGGGCAATGGTGAGCGCGGCCAGCCGGCAGCCTGCCCAGGACGGATGGCAGACTCGGTGCTGTCTGCAGTCGGCCTTCCACTGTGCAGGTGGGCACTCCGGGTCTGCACTGAAACTCCTTCATGCAGTCCCCACCTGCTGCTGCGTGGAAGCCCCAGGGTCCAGGAGAGCTTTGGATGTTAATGTCCTGCCTGTCCTTATTCTTTTCAGGTCATCGAGTGCATCACCCAAGGTCGTGTGCTGGAGCGGCCCCGGGTCTGCCCCAAAGAGGTGTATGACGTCATGCTGGGGTGCTGGCAGAGGGAGCCTCAGCAACGGCTGAACATCAAGGAGATCTACAAAGTCCTCCACGCTTTGGGGAAGGCCGCCCCCATCTACCTGGACATCCTTGGCTAGCGGCAGCTGGTGGTCACGGACGCGTACTCTGTGGCCTCCCTCTCCTGGCCTCACATCGCCCCTCGTCCACCTCACACTCCTTTCTTCCATCCTGACCGAAGCGAACATCTTCATATAAACTCAAGTGCCTGCTACACATACAACACTGAAAAAAAAAAAAAGTGAAAGGAAAACCTGTAAGGCAGTTTGGCGAATATATATATACATATATATATATATTTATATATCTATCTATCTATCTATCTATATCCACAGAGAGATACCTTCTCTAATACAGAGAGAAACTGCTGATACAGAAACCATAAGACTGTAACAACAACTCAGAAAAATCTTACGAACACGAATGGAAGTCCCCTTTGACGGAAGCTGGGGCCCTTGGTTCTGTGGCTCCAACTGTTTGGGGCCGGAGGCCTCGATGACACAGAGATGGTCTTTGCTGCGCTGGGACCGGAGGAGCGGGGATGGATCACTGCTGTGCAGGTGATGACCCGCGCAGGTGCGCTACCCCTCCCCCACCCCCGAGATCCGCACAGGTGCGTGGGTTGACCGCGACTGCGGCACTCGGGATGCAGCAGGAAGTAACACCGCCCCAGGGGCCTCTGGAATGCCTCCCGTCTCCCGTGACTGTGGCTCCACACCTTCCCCCTTTCCTCTGCTTCAAGACAATTCTCCAATTTGTCCATTCTAGAAAGTAGAGTCCTGATGCTTTTGGAAGTCAATGAGGGCATCTACCACTAAACACTGGACAACCAATGAGCCCCCAAACCATGGTGACCATGGACCACCTCCGTCTTGAGTGTACACCATGCTCAAGTTCCTTCCTCCATTGGAAAGAGATGTGTCATCTGTTCTCTGAACTTCAAGAACTGGACGTTCTGGACTTAACCACAGAAGAACCCTCCCTGTCAAGGCACTGCCTCCCATCTTTTCCTCACTGGAAGACTCCTCGGTCCCGCCTCCCACATGCGGGCTTTTGGGGGAGTTTCGGGGCATAGGGAACGCGCCCCATGCTGCCCATGAGTGCGGACACAGCAGGGTTCCAGCAGCAGGAGACTTGGTTCCTTGTAGGTCATTGTAACATGTGCCCCTCTGTGCCGTCTGTGTCTCATCCTGCCTGCCCTCCATCTCCAGCCCTACTTCCTGGGCTTCTCGCACGTCCCAGGGCCACCTCACTGCCAGGAAAGAAAGGCAGGACTAGCAACAGCGTGGGGCAGTGCTTGTTCCCGAGAGTGAGGCCGTGGACTGGGCCGGAGCCGGCAGGGGAGATGGCACCTGCACCGGCCCCTTGGCATTCTCCTCACGTTTCCAGCCCCTGGAAGGATTGATGCATCTGCCTTTGAGCTTGCTGTGAACGCTCAGCGGCTGAAAAATCGCTTCTGTTGGCCGGGGGTGGGGGAGGGGCTGAGGCTTCTCTGGGAGGTGTCCCCTGCGCGGCCACGGCCGCAGGCTTGGCATCTTAATGAGGACGGAGCCCTGACCAGAGAGCGAGAAGGAGGCTTCTGGGCGGGGGTCCTGGCCGCTGCTGGTGAGAGCTGTAACGGGCAGATCCCTGGGCTTCCTGGACACACAATCAGGAAATGCCATTGGAGGGCAGTGGCCTGGGCCCCCAGAGCCCTCCTGCTGGAGGGAGGACAGGCCCATCTCAGCTCACTGGCCCCAGCCCCTCACCCCAAGCACAGAGCTACCTATCGGACTGGCCTACGGCCGGCCCTGCCAGTGTGAGGGGCTGTGGGTGGCCCGACTGGCCTGGTCAGCGGCAGCACAGACATCCCTGTGGGCTTCAGGACTAAATCCTGTGTTTGTGGTTTTGCTTCCCCCCCGCCCTTTTTTTTTTAAAGACCCACAAATGTTTTTATTCAAATAGAAAAGAGCTGTGTTGGGACTGCCGGCCTCGGTTGGGGGTCGGGGATCAGGGAGGCCGCTCAGCTGGGCTGGGAGGGGATCCAGAGCTTGGCATGGGTTTGGCCCCATGCCGGCCTCCCAGCCCTGAGGACTTTTGAGAAGAGCCCAGTGGATCAACCACGTCAGAGGAAGTCTTTGCTGTCCTGTGGCCGTCATCCCTCCTGTCTTTCTGCCTGGAGGCCCTGGGTCTCTTCCGGGGCTGTTATTACAGGATGAGCTACATATGGAGTCTCGTGCTGAGTGGGGTCCCTGAGCCAAAGCTGCTCATGGAGGGAGGGCTTTGAGGGGGAAGGGTCTTCTGGTAGATGTGAGGCTTCAGGGCTCCAGTTGCTGCCAAAGCAGACCCTGGAGAGTCTCCCCAACACAGGCCCTGTGTGGCTTCATCTCACGGTGTCTCTAGAACTCTCATCACTGATAGGTGGGTAAAGGGTTGGAAGTCAGGGGGCAGCTGGGAATGAGGAAGGCCAGGCTTCCAACAGGGTGCTAAGGCAGCCCGGCCTAAGGGGGAAGCTAGTTCCTTTGGGACTAAGGAGCCTCGAAGGAGACCAAAGTCAGACTGCACAGGCCCTCGGGCTGCCCATGGGGACGCATCTTCGTCGTGTCCACCGTAAGCGTCTGCCTCTCCAGAATGATCATGGCCAAGCAAGGAGGAGTGGAGAGGGAGCACCGGCCTTCTTCCTCCCTGGTTGTGCTCTCTGCGCACAGTTGATGTGTCGACAAGGCAGGTACAAAAAGTGAAAAGGTTTTTGGAGGGTGAGGGAAGCAGAGAGTAGACGCTGTGGGCACTCCCTGGGGGCAAGCCGAGGATGTTATTCCTCCTGTGGGGGGGATGTGCCGCGGCTGGGGCTCCCTCTCCAGTGTCTCTGTCTCCTGTCTGTGAAACGAGAGGTTCTGTTCACCTCTGGGCCCTGCAGGGTCTGACATGGTTCGATTCTCCCAGCGGGGGCTCACTGTGCTGTGTGGTCCTGGGTAGTGCCCTGGAAGGCCAGGGGGATCTTCCTCGGGGGCGCTGCCCCTGGGGACTTGTGGACCTGCACACGCGCAGGTCCCATGGGACACTCTTCTCCTTCTTGGTGACTCCGTCACAGTGCAAAATGTCTGAGGTGACTCTCGGCCCACAGGGCACATCTGGTCTCGTTCCCCACCCCCACCCCCCCAGTCTCTTTGCCCACCCAGAAAGTGCTGGCCCAGGTCTGATTATCTGTTTATTTTCAAAGAGCTTCCTGTAGTTAAATGAGTCTTAAAATGACATCCCACCAGCCAGTGTGGCCGCCCCAGTCCACCCCGCTCTTGCCCCTCCCTGCCAAAATTCACCGTTTAACAAAACACGCTAGAGCAGTTCTCAAGGTGTGGCTGGATGCAGACCCCGCTGTGACTTCTGCTGGAAACTCCAGCTCACCCAGGCTGACCTCCTGGCCATGTCACCTTCACCTGATCCCCTCCTGGACCGAGTGACAGTGGCCTGCTTGTAGAGGTCACTTGGAGTAGGGAGGCATGGCCAAGGGTCTTCCCTGTTCTTGACTTTGGATGTGAACCAGATGCTGCCCTCTTATCATATCCTTGGCTCCCGAGTGGGTCTTAAGACTCACTCAACCTTCTCTTCCTAACAGACGAGAGACTGTGTCCCTCCCCTCAGCAGACCATGCCCAGATCGTCCCCTGAGAGAGGCTTCCCACTGGAGGCTAAGGAGGCTTGGCCCTCCTGGCTTCAGTTTGAACCTCACCATTCTTCTCTAGCTATGCTTACTTTGTGGAACACACTAGTGCAAATATTTTTGGTGCTAAATACTATAGAAATCAACGCCAATGGGAGAGCTGACAGCCAGCTCCTGAGGCTGTGTAAGACTCCACTGAGAAGCAGAAGGGAGTCAGGTATGCCCAGACCATAGAGGACGTCCTGGAGCTTGGGTCGGAGCATGCAGTGGCGCGGAGAGCCTGTTGGGCTTTGCTTTTGGTTTCCCAGGTGACGTTGGCCCGGTCCCCAATCTCTCAGAGTACCAGATTTCTCACTCCAGACATTTACGAGGTTAGAAGAGATATCCTTAGGGTCCCTCTCAGTTAAAAAAAAAAAAAAAAAAAATCCTGGTCCCACCTATTCTGTTTGTTTTGTTTACTTGCTTATTAGAAATAAGAGGGTAAATGAAAGGCAGGTAAAGAAGGGGAGGAGGGAAAGTTACTGAGGACGAGAAATTGATTGTAGAAGGCAAACAGGGAAGACGCCATGAGTGTTAGGTTGGAAGGTTGCTGGTGGGGGGGCAAAGGGGCCAGGCCCACCAGCTCTCCAGCTGTGGCCTCCCCCCCGCCCCCCCACCGAGACTGACTTCTGCAGGCTCTCCTCAGCTTGCTGGCTTCTCCATTCAACACCGACACGCCCTAGGCTGGCAGAAATGATTAGGGAGACAGGCCCGCCCCACTCTCGCGCAGGCCACTGGCAGTCTGATCTCAAAAACCAAAAGATACATGTCCTCACATGCTATTTCAAAAGGATAGGAAGTTGGAAAGAGGGCAGGATTTTAGGCTGTGAACTCTTCACCAAAGTCCTTTTCCAGATCACTGAATAGCATCCTTTTTCCCAAACCAAACAGCAGCAGAATTATCTCATTGGAGGTGGGGTGATTTCGGGGCTAATTTGGGCTTTGGGACCTTCCCTGTGCTTTGCTTACAGCCTGGAGCAAAGAAATATCTATAGTTCTTGGGTGAAGAAGTTTGAAGACCTGTGCCCAAGGTCTAGAGGACTGCCCTCAAATGCTCCTGGGATGGCTATCATCAGCTCTGGCAGAGCTGACCAGCTAGAACACTCCATGGTATTTGCCTTAGAGCAAGAAAGGACATCTGCAGCCCAGGGCTCGGTGCTGTAGCCACATTGTTTTTGGTCCCTGGCGCACCAAACTTTTCTCTGATACCAAATAAAATGTTTTGGCCAACGCTTAATAGGTTTTAAAGGGAAATTCCAAGTCTTTGTATCATTTTTAAGGTATCAATACAGACTCCAGAAAATGCTTTGGGATTGCTGAATGGACTGGCCATTAGCATCATCTGAGGGGAAGTGTAGGGCCCTAGAAATTGTATGCTTATAGCTATATCTCTAACTGGGCTGGCTTCAGTGAGAGTCTGCTTGGAGTCAGCAAATGGATTCCTTGATGCTTGGTCTCTTCAAGCCTTACAATCCTCCGGGATGAGATACCCAGAGATGGCCTGGCCTAAGAGAGCTCATCAGAGATGTTACTGGGAAATCTGTCATCTTGTAAAATTTGATCCTT